AAATAGACCAAGAGAAGAGAATAGAGCATCAAGAAACGTGCCTATCACATGATCTATAGCAAATGGGTCACTGATGCGCCGTAGGAGAATAATCATATAAATGGTTCTAGGTCACGTGAAAGGCCTTATAGAAAAAAATGTATCTTGACCCCTACCTGTACCATATAATAGTCAACTCTTTGTGGGCTACAGATCTAAATTAAAAGGCAAAGCAATAAAGCTTTTAGAAGAATGCCTAGGAGAATATCTTTATGATCTTGGAATAGGCAAAAATGTATTGAAAAGGGCACATTGAAAAATGTAAAGAAAACAAAGGTTAATTGGACTATGTAAAGATTAAGACGTTCTGTTTATTAAAAAATACCACAAAGATGGGGCGCCTGGGTGGCTCATTCGGTTAGGCATCTGCCTTCAGCTCAGGTCATGATCTCAGGGTCTTGGGATTGAGCCCCACATCGGGCTCCCTGCTCAGTGGGCTGTCTGCTTCTCCCTCTTCCTCTGCCCCTACATGTGCGTGCTCTTTCTCTCTCTTTCTCTCAAATAAATAAATAAAATTTAAAAAAAAGATACCACAAAGAGAATGAAAAAGAGGATGCAAACTGGAGAAGATATTAGCAATCCATATACCCAACAAAAAACTCCTATCTAGAATATATAAAGAGCTCTTACAAATCAAAATAAGACAGACAATTTAATTAAAAAGGGGGGATGGAACTGGAGGGTGTTATGCTGAGTGAAATAAGTCAATCAGAGAAAGACATGTATCACATGACCTCACTGATATGAGGAATTCTTAATCTCAGGAAACAAACTGAGTGTTACTGGAGTGGTTGGGGGTGGGAGGGATGGGGTGGCTGGGTGATAGACATTGGGGAGGGTATGTGCTACGGTGAGCGCTGTGAATTGTGCAAGACTGTTGAATCACAGATCTGTACTTCTGAAACAAATAACGCAACATATTTTAAGAAAAAAGAAAAAGAAGAAGATAACAGGAGAGGAATAAAAGGGGAGTATGTCAGAGGGGGAGACGAACCATGAGAGATGATGGACTCTGAAAAACAAACTGAGGGTTCTAGAGGGGAGGGGGGGAGGGGGATGGGTTATCCTGGTGATGGGTATTGAGGAGGGCACATTCTGCATGGAGCACTGGGTGTTATGAACAAACAATGAATCATGGAACACTGCACCAAAAACTAATGATGTAATATATGGTGATTAACATAACAATAAAAAAATTTAAAAAAAATAAAAAGGGGGGAAATTTTTAATAAGCATTTCACAGAAGATGATATTCAGATGCCCAATAAACATACAACGTGTCAAACTTCATTAGTCATCCATGACATTAAAATAAAAATCACCATGAACTAACAGGGCACACCCATCAGAATAGCTAAAATGAAAAAGAAAGATAATACCGAGTGTTGGCAGGAATGTGGAGCAACCAGAACTCTCATACATTGCTTGTTTGAGTGTAAGTAGTTAGTTACTTTGGAAAGCTACTACTGCTGACACATCTGTATCCTGGGACCCTATGATCACACCAAACAGAATTTTGTATAAATTCACCAAAAGATACATACAAGAATATTCATGGAACCGCTGTTCATAACAGCCCAAACTGGAAACTACTCAGATGCTCATTAGTAGTAAAATGGACCAGGTGTCCATTCTTTGAGTGGAATACTAGACAGCAATGAGAATGAAAAAAATCATAATGTGGGCAACAGTATGAATTGTCAAGCACAAGCCTAAGCCTGAGACAAAATGAACAAATATGCATAAACCTGTGGCAGGAGGACCTCTGCCATCACTTTCATTTCAGCAGGAAGGGTAGAAAGGTGGTAGAAAGGAGAGTCGGTTTCATAGAGTAAGTGGGAGACACTAAGTTCGTCTCTGGTTTCCAAACGTTCTGTTAAGGTAGAAATTTTGGAAGTGGAGGAGACTTTCTAATTGGTCTTGAGGTACTTTTGACCATGCTTGGTGGACTGCAAGGCCGCCAGCCCCCTATTGCTTGGCAGAGGAAGTTTCACCCCCATGAAATGGTCTGCATAGCCCACCCAGCCCTGTTTGTCCTGCCTTGTCCCTCGCTCTGCCCTCCAGGAGCACCAGCTTCCTTTTGCATCCTGCAAAGTGCCATGATCTCTTCTTCCTCCATCTGTGAGATGCTTAAACTCCAGTGGGATATAAAGATACTATCAGATAATTCTAGAAAGGTGTACAAAATTATAAGTGGAACTAAACTATGAAAGAAAGGAACGTATAAGAAAAGAAATTGGCTAAAATGGAGGATTAGACCTGCCTTATCTGGTAAGGTTTGAAGTCTGAATGATTTAGAGGCAGACAGGATGGGAGAGGAGGATGAAAACAGTATGTGCAAAGGCCCTGAGACAGGAGAGTATAATCATTATCAGGAATTGAAAGAAAGAGCCCAGAAAGCAAAAGGTAAGCAAGAGTCTTATAGAATGTGATGAGGATTTTGGTCTTACTACCAGAGAAGAGTGGTATTTTAAGCAGGTGGTGACATGATAATACTTCATTAGAAAAACCGGTCTCTAACTGCAGGATAGATTGGGAGGCAGCTTAAATGCCAGGAGACCAATTAGAGGGACCTGCAGCAGTCCTGGCCAGAGAGAATGGGCTGGGGTGGTGGCCGTGAAAATGGAAGGGGTTGGGTAGATTCCAGAAAAATGTGGGAGGTGACATTGACAGAATTTGGTGATGGTCTCAATGGAGGTGTGGGGGGGTGCAGAGAAAGTGGGGTATCACGGAGGACCCTGGGATTTTGTTCCCCTGGGGGGATGCCAGTATCCTTTCTGAGGCAGGAGCTCAGTCTGGCCCAGGTCGGGATGGAGAGCAGGAGCCATGCACCCACCGGTTGGGGTGGGGCAAATTTGAGATGTTGCTGGGACATGAGAAGTGGCGAGAGGTCAGGCAGACAGAGCGAGGGACGGAGGTCTGCAGTCCAGACAGGAGGTCAGAACCACATAAACAATTAATTGCCCTTCAAACCTAAGTAGTGGATTTGTCCACGTTTGTTTTAAGTTTGAGAAATTATTTGATTTTCATTTCTTTGTTTTTTTTTCTCCCCCTTTCTTTGGACAGCTTATTTTAATTTTTCTTTCTACCCCTCTCTTACTGTGTGCGTGTTTCTCTTGACCCGAGAGGCTTCCTAAGGCTATCACCTCCATCTCTGCAGGTGGGATGGGCCCCTCACCTCGGCAGGCTGCCTTGCCAGATCACTGTGGGGCGTTAGCAGCACACAGACTGACAGACTGCAAAAGGGACTGCAGTTGCAAGGTCTTTAGAGATTATTTGAATGTGGGACACACGTTGGTATTTGGGGTGAGGATATTTTCCAGTGCAGAGGACATGCGCTGTGCCTAGGTGCCGTTCAGAAGGCGCGCTGATGCATCTCGGTCTGCAGGCGTGGGCTTAGCCTTCACCCTCCCAGGGGGGAACATGTTGTTTAACAGCTTCCAGCATCTGGCGGGGATTCAGACAAAGCTGGTAGGGAGGAGAGAGGAGAGGAGGCTCGAGGGGAGGGTTTGTTTCCAAGCACCTATTAAAGCACCTAGGAATAATTTTCACAAGTCAGATGAACCAGAATGAAGAAAAGAAGCTCATCTTTCTAAATGAACTTTACTAGGCCATGCTGATTCAGAAACTCAGAACCGTATTGGGATATATCTGGATCCTGAATCCAAGGAGATTTCACAGTAGGAAAAGAAGGACTCCAAGTACTTCAGCTGGCAGGATGTTCTAAAGGATTACTGAATTGGTGTTTCGTTCCAGTATTTTTAAAAATTAAAAAGGATGATGCTCCGAAAGAATCTTCTATATTGGTTAACAGTTAATGTTATGAACAGCTGAGGCTGAGAGACCAAAATGTGTTTTCCCCATGTTGTTTTTTTGGTATGGCCTATCAGATTGACCCCCACTCTGGGAAGTCCATTCATGGCTGTTGTCACCTCAGTGATTTCTCTGCAGCAGGACATGATGGCGGGTCTGGCGTTGGGCCCAGCTAGTGCTGGATTATCACAGGGGGTGGAGGGATTGTCTGCATGGCTGTGACAGCCAAGGAGAAGCCCAGTGTCTCCTAGACAGGCAAGCTGTTTTTTTTGTGGTTGGTGGCATCTAGTTTCTTATGTTTCCAAATCATTTTCGAAATGAAATTTCTAGACCAACTGCAATTTTTACAGAGGTTACTTTTCTGCATGGAACTCTATTCTCGTGTGTGATGTAAATGCTCAATATAAAGAAATACGTGTTTGTAGATCTTTATGTGTGACCAGTGTGTGCAGGACTTACGTGGTACCATGCACTGTCCTAAGTGTTTAAGGAGTATTAAACCACCGAGGGCTCACATTAATCCTTTAAGCTTGGTGCTTTTAGGATCCTCATTTTATGGATGAATCAATAGTGACATAGATGGGTCAGTTAGCTGGCCGAGGCCACAGGGAGGGTGAGCAGTGGGGCCAGGCTGTGAACCAATGTTGTCCACCGCTGGGACCGACCAATGACCCTTGAACAATGCAAGGGTTAGGGGCACCGACACCCTGTACCGTTGAAAATCTGTGTATAACTTTTGACTCTCCAAAATCATAAGGAGAGAAAATACATTTATAGTACTGTCCTGTATTTATTAAGAAAAATCCACATGTGAGTGGACCCGTGTAGTTCAGACCTGTGTTGTCAGGGGTCCGCTGTACTTCCTTATTGCTGCACCTCTACATTGAAGAGGTGAACATTTTAAAGATTTATTTATTTATTTATTGAGAGAGAGAGAGAGAGGTGGGGGGGGATGTGGGAGGGGCAGAGGGAGAGGGAGAGGGAGTCTTAAGCAGATTCTGCTCTGAGCGCAGCTTGATCCCATGACCCCAAGATCATGACCTGAACCGAAACCAAGAGTTGGATGCTCAACTGACTGAGCCACCCAGGCGCCCCAAAGGTGAACATTTTAAAATGTGTAGTTCCAGTGATGTTTTATTTTCTTTTAGGAGTGACTGGGTGACCTCCTACAAGGTCATGGTGAGCAATGACAGCCATACATGGGTCACTGTTAAGAACGGATCTGGAGACATGGTGAGTTTCGTGTTCCCTCTGTCCATGTCCTTGGTGTCTGGCTATGTGGGTCCCTGCAAAGAGAGGCAATGTGTGCCCCCTCAGTGTCTGCTGATGCTGTGTCAGCTCAAACCGATGATGGATAATGTCCACCTCCTCCCTTGCCCTGCTTCCATGCCCTGAAGCTCAGCGCCAAGTGGCCCATGTAGAGCTAATGTGAAATTCTGAGCTGCTGGGATGCGGTTTCTTCCACAATCCACAGGTCAGCCTTGGGGGACACGTGGCACAGGCAATATGCCTGCGCCCCTCACAGCTACTCGGGTGCATCAGTTCTCCAACTTCCTTTAATAATCCATCTTTCCGCTCCATGATTCGCTCCAGATTAGCCAGTTCTGATGATCATGTCACCCTCTTCGTCAGGTTCTCAAGCACATCCTTCCTCCCATGGTATCCAGAATCTTCCACAATCTGATGGTATCTCTGCTTTCAACCTTCTTTCTCTTTCTTACCCCCTGCACACACTCCCCCTGTGTTCCAGGAAAAGGGGGCCAGTTGCTCTGCTCCTTCTGAAGCCCACCTCTGGGCTTCTCCAGCCATTCCTGCTGCTTGTCTCTAGAATCCCTCCCATCCCACAGATCTAAATAGTTTTCCTTCAAGGCCAATTCAAATACCACCTGCTCCCTAAAGCTCTGCCTGGTCCTTTCCTTCTTCTGAAATCCCAGAGCTCCGTGGCTGTCCCTCTGCCATGGTACTAATAGATTTCACCCAGATTATCAAAGTATTCCCTCCTCCTCTCTCCGCCACCCCGGTAGAGGGGGGCTTCCTGAGGGCAGGGTCCATGCCTGATTCATTTCTCTTCCCCTCAATGCCCTGCACACAGTGGGTGCTCCTCAGTGAAATCTTATGGAATCAGTGAATTACCCTTTATCCCTTGATAATCGAGCTCTAAAAGAGTTGCCTTCCCCCCCCTCCTTGTGCATAAGTAGATATTTGAAGGAAACAGTGAAAAGGAGATCCCTGTCCTCAACGAGCTGCCCATCCCCATGGTGGCCCGCTACATCCGCATCAATCCGCGGTCCTGGTTTGACAACGGGAGCATCTGTATGAGGATGGAGATCCTTGGCTGTCCACTGCCCGGTGAGCCTGCCCTTCCCAACTTGCTGCAGGGGTGTTGCTGATGGAGAACAGGTACCTGCCCAGGGTGACCGCAAACCAAGCAATCTTGTTCTCCTGTAAAAAAAAAAAAAAAAAAAGTATATCGATTGCAGAATATTTCGAAAACCTAGCTGAGCAGAAAGAAAATAAATAAAAACCTCCCCTAATCCCACTCCGAAACGCCATGAATATTTGGGGGTAGCAAAGTGAGGTGCCAACTGTGGTTGTGCCTCCTGGGATTTTAAGATGATGCACGTTTCGGGGCTGGAAATTCACTCAACGCTACCACTCAGAAGCAAGCAAAAAAAAAAAAAAAAATTAGAGAAAATTTTTCGTAGCATATTTAATTGTCCCTGAGTGCTCCCACTACTTGGAGTAGAGGAGGTGGCAGAAGTTAATCTTAAATGTGACCACGTACACAGTCTCTTTCTGTTGAAGTCGCTTTGCTTGGGTGCCTGTGTCTTTGGGTAAATGCCTCTTTATTTCCCGCAGCCTATTTTCACACGATGATATCTGGGTGTGACCTCAGGGGGTCAGGAAGAAGGGGGCTTGAGTTCACGTGTGTGTCCTCTGGATCCTAGCTGGTGTCTGCTCTGGACAGGCTGATCTGGCCTGGCTCGTGGCTGGCTTGGTCTGGCCTTTCAAAATCTGTGAGTTTGTGCCCATATGGAGCCTGTAGATGGCAACCCCTTCATCTTGCCCGGACATCTTCAGGGCAGGAAGCTAGCTCCTAGCACATTCCTAAGGCTCTTCATTAGGGCCTATAGGAATTTCCACATCCCTGTCAACCTACGGTCCATCTCTAGGAACAAGGAACACGGCTTTGGGTTATAGCTTTCCTTACCACTCTTGTCTAGTGGGAGAGTGAGGCCTTGCTACTTTGGGGGTTTGCCCAGTTCTGATGCTCTCAGGAACCACTGTAGCCATCAGGCTATTTCTCTAGCCATCAACCCCCCTCCCCCACTGTGAACTTACCTTTCTTGCTTTTCAAAGCACATTTAATGTCATTTATTGCTTTCCTCTCAATCCATAATATCCAAGTTCTTGCTTTGCCAAGTATGAATTTTTAGAACACAAACTCTGTATTGGTGAGAAAGATGGGTCTATCTGCCTACCTACTCACGCTCACACCAGACAGATTCTTTGTTATATATTTGGACTTACTAGCTTGCAAAAGCTTTTTTTTTTATGTCATTAAAACTATTAGAGACCATCTGTCTTGTGGATGCATTTATCTAGTCTATAGACAAAAATCCTGTTTTTAATCTGCCTTACAGTGGAAAGTTCAGTTTTTTCCAATATTTTGGTTCCATAAAGAACCACACGAGGAACATCTTTGTTTCTGTGTCATTGTGCGTGTTAATGATTACTGTGTAAATTACAGGATTATTCAATTACAGGATGAGTGCTTACGTTAGATTATGATAAATAGGGTCCCTGGTGCAAAGGGTGTGTGCATTTTCAAGGCTGATCCGGAGAGGATGTTGAAGGCCGGCCTGATTTGGGACCTGGGCCTCCTTTTGTAGCTTGTTGGTGCTGGAGTGGTCACCCCAGGTCCCCCCTGCTGCCCCCAGGGCCCGCTGGGCTTTCCAGAGCATGGAGAGTCTGCAGACACAGACACAGGCATGTGTCTGAGAGGCCCTCTTTGTGCCAGGCCAGGAGACTTGCTCTCCTGTGTCACTCAGCACAGCCTCCGTCTGCTTGCTTGAAAGAGCAGGGTCACGGTTTCTCTCTGTGGGCAGGAATTCATTCATTGTTGGTAAAGGGCAAAGGGCACCCTGTGAGAGTCTCATGAAATAAATATTTCCCTGTGAAGTTATGCTTGGTGTGTGTGTATTTGAAGGTAGGTCCTTGGGGCAATTTAAACACAAAGACACAACAATTACAATGTGAATTCTAGGTGGGTTTCAAGTACCGACTTGGAATGGCTCTATTTCCAACCCCAAATATTTAGGGCCATTTCTCTTCTAGAAGTTACTTAGCAGTCTGCCCAGAGGGGAACTGGCCCTTGTGCGTGCCTCGTGGTGGCAGTCATATCTAAGGGACTAGGGCAGCCCGGGGGCCCCCTCGTCCATGTGGGTAAGTGAGCCTTGCTCACTGCCCTGCTGTGGGCACCATCCTTTTGTGCAAGTTAATGAGGCCAAAGACAGAGATGACCCAACCAACTCAGCTGCTCAATCCCAAGGTCACCTTGTGGTCTAAATGCAAGCGTCCAGAGTCTTTTCTTCCTGGAACTCTTGTTTCTGAAAAATTCATTTACCTTTTTTCTTCTGCTCTCTTTGTTCTGTGCATACCATCTTCCTGAGAACTCTCAGTTCAGGGCAGAGGGAGGTGGTGATTCTTTTCAAGCTTTCATGAGTAATGTGTCCAGAAATTTTTGAACTGGAAAATGAATTACCGCATGCCATGGTCTATTAATAGGATTTTTAAAGCTCAAAAGGAAAAGAAAATGGAGCGTTGTTTATGGTTACAGTTTCAGTTTTGCAAGATGAGAAAGTTCTAGCGATCTATGGATCACAACAGTGTGTTTATCCTTAACACTGCTCAACTGGACTCTTAGAGATAAGGTTAGGATGGCAAATTCGATGTGTATTGTACCACAATTAAAATTTTTTTAATTCAAAAAAATTTTATTATCCTTTTTTTTTTTTCAAATTTGTCTATTTGCGCATAGTTGACACAATGTTATGTGAGTTTCAGGTGTACAGTATGGCGATTGCGCTGTGCTCACCACGGGTGTAGCTCCCATCTGTCACTGGAAACGCTGTTGCAGGATCAGGGACTGTGTTCCCTATGCTGTGCCTTGTATTCCTGTGCCTTATTCATCGCAGAGCTGGAAGCCTGGTTCTCCCGCTCCCCTTCACCCTTGTTTGCCCCCAACTCCCACCCCCCTCCCCTCTTGCAACCACCTGTTTGTTCTCTGTAGTTATAGGCCTGATTCTTTTTGCTCGCTTGTTTATACATTTGGATTTTTAAGATTCCACATGTGAGTGAAATCATATGGTACTTGTCTTTCTCAGTCTGACTTATTTCACTTAATGTAATACCCTCTCAGTTGTTCATTATTTAAAAAAAAAAAAAAAAAAGTCGGGGCACCTGGGTGGCTTAGTTGGTTAAGCGGCCGACTCTTGACTTTGGCTCAGGTCATGATCTCAGGGTCCTGGGATCAAGCCCCACGTCAGGCTCCATGTTCAGTGGGGAGTCTGCTGGAGATTCTCTCCCTCTCCCTGTGCCCCTCCCCACTCGTGCTCTCTCTCTGTCTCTCTCAAATAAATAAATAAAAGTATAAAGAAGTCCTCTTCCCCACATTTGATTGGACTTGCCCATTTTGGATGAGCGTGCATAAAGATCTATGCATATCAGAAGCTGGGGAGAGCTTCCTAAGATACATTTTTAATAATGAATGTTTCAGGTTAAGACACATGCTGGCTGACTTCAAGGTCACAGAGTTGGTGGTTTTTAGCTATTTTGCTGTTGTAAACAATACTGCCATGTGTGCTCTCTGTTTCTGAAAAGGGCCCCATTGCTCTGCCTGCGATTTCCCCACAGGATGACAGGAGCATATCCAGGGGCCCGGGAAATGACTTTCAGGGCCGGGGATGGCTGTGCTTGAGCCCCGGTGCTGCTGAGCAGCTACTCCTGTGAAGGTGTGATTCCGACCTCCCTGGGGAAAGCGCCACTCCTCCCGCCTGCTGTTTTCTGCCACCGGGTCCAAGCGACTGCCCTCCATCTGCGCAGGGCTGAGGTGTCTGGGGTTCTTGGATTCAACTCAAGACCTTGTGAGGAGCTGTGCAGACACCTGGGGGCAGGAGCTCGTTTTCCCTGCAGCTTGGAGGCACTGCTAAGGGCAGATGCCCCCCAGTCATTCCTGTGGGTGGACCAGGACCAAGGGACACGCTGCATCTCCTTCCTTCCTCCTCATGCACATGCCCTCCCAGGCATAAATCACTGAGAAAATATTCCAATCATAAGACCATCACCTCTCTGGCTGACTTGTTTCAGCCAGCCCCACCCCCGTCTCATCAGTATGGTGAAATCAGGGGCAGGATGGGCTCTGTTCGATCAGCAGAGCTGCAGAAGACTTCGTCAGTCTAGTTGCTTTGCTACCTTCCACTTTGCTTCACAAAGGCCACAGTTTGCATACCTACGCATCCCATGGAACTGGTCATTATTTTGGGCCCCGGCCTGGGTTTTGAAAAGACAGGCATCAGAACACAAAGTTGCTGGGGCCCTTATTTTGTCTTGCTTTGCTAAGGGTGACATGTTCAGCCTCTTTTGGATGAAACTAGAAGCGCTCATGGGAAGGGCTGTGTCCCAGCTGCAGGCTGCCTTCATTGTTACTGGTTGCCCAGGCCTTGTGTGATCTGAAAACAAAGAGAAGAATTCATGTGCCTTTCAGGGAAGCTGGGTGGACAGAAAGGGCATGAGCTCTGACCTAGATCAGGTTCACGGTCTCTATCATCCCCCGGCACCTGTGGTCTTGAGTAACTTGTGGAACTACTCTGTGCCTTGCTTTTCTTCTGCCTGAAGTGGAGATAAGAGCTTCCCTGTAGAACTGGGACTAAGTCTTTCCACTCCTGTATCGCCCTTTCCTAAAGCATCCCTGTGAGATGACTCAAGCCCTCCCTGTGTACCTGTGGAAGGTCCTGAGTCTCCTTTCCCCTCCTGCCCCCCGGTATTTCTGGAGCTGCCTGGGGTGGTCGCCTGCACTTGCCAGGGGGTTGCTTTCTGCCTCCTGTTTCCCATGCCTTCTCCCAGCGCTGCTCCTCGTCAGCTCACACCATCATCCCCCTTCCCCCTGGATTTGAGAACAGCAGTCCACAGATGCTGATTCACATGAGGGCTGACTGCTTGAGGTTTGGGGATAAAAACAGGGTTTTGTTATGCTGCACATAACAGAGAACTACACAGACCTGACAGTTAACATTTCTGTCCCTAAGACTCCTGGTCACCCCGGTGGAGGGGATCCATGGCCT